TCCATCTGTATCAACATAACGTTTATAATCTGTAAATATCTAAGTGATACTGACTGTCGTCGTAATGTTGCTAACTTTTATTTGTATACTAGAGTTAGATTATGAGGAAATGCCTCAAGTTCAAGTGTATTTGCTTTAACATTGGAGACTGAATGATGTCGAAGAATAAGATTGTTAATAATCATATTACTACCGTATACCGTTTCGAATTCGAAAAATATAACACCAAAATCTACGATAAATAAGGTTACGAATAGGTTACTTAAGATTTAGATAAAGAAATAAGTAGTAGTTTTGTTGGTACAAAATATTTTTATACAAGTGAAGGAATTTTTGTCGAAGTCTAGTGACTTCTTTCACCTCATAATATCATTAATATATATGTAAAAAAAAATATAATTTATCAGTTACACATTTTAAAAAATATTTCAGTAAAAAAAATATTTTTAAATGACAATCCGCACAATAAGTTTTCTACGTTTCTGTCTGCTGTGGGAATAGAACTCTGTATTTTGGAAACTTACTGCTGAGCCACGGGGTAACAGGTTTAATATCGATTATTTAGATTATATCATATATCTTTTAGCACTCGCCAGTGGTAATGATACATTGCGTGGCTAACACACATAGCATGCGTGATTTTGTAATATCATTCAACCCAAAGACGCCACCTTTGAGGACAACAGGGCGCACAAGTTAAATATGTCATGGTGTTTATTGTTTTCCCAATCTTTATTAAAGATGGCGACATTGCAGTAATCCCAACATTAAGTCTTGCTGGCGCGACTTGTAATTCTAACGCTTTAAGTCTAAGCGAACATATGTTAATTAGTCAAACTGAGAATTCTAGACACTGTTTATTTTTTTTTGTTTTTATCAAATTCACATTAAAAAAGGATAAAGTATGGTCTAATGGTTAGTGTATAGGCTGTGGATCGGTAGGTCCGATGTTTAAGTCCGTGATACTCTGCTGAATACGCTCTGCACTTGCAGCTGTGGGCGCGTTATAAAAGTAGCAGTCATTTCCACTATTCGGTAAAGACTAGCCTTGTAGGCGGTGAGTGTTGAAGACTATTTGCCCTCCTTCTGATCAGCAATTCTAACGTAGGGATGATTCTCTGACTGACCGTTTATTCTAATATTACATAGTATGTCATTCAGGTTAAAAATATCACTCACTTTCAGACATAATCATACTTTTTTTTAGTTATTTGAGGAAGTAAAATCAATCAAAGTTCACCATTCCCCATCTAGTATAACCTTCTGTTGATAATCAACATTTGATTATCGTCTGATTATATTGAAAAGTCCAATACTGATCGTAACGCTTTCACTAATTGTTTGATCCGTGAGATGGAACTGAGCAGATAGGGAGCTTTACTACTTGTTAACTTGGAGGGATGAATTAAACTTTTTATTTTTGTATTTTATTAATCTAATTTACACATTAGAGAAGTTTAGTGTGGAGTCTCATGCAGTACATTTGTCAGTGCCATATGCAGATAAACGTTGCGCTTTTCCTAAGGGAGACAGTCGACTGCTAGCAACTACTTTTTGCTTTTTATTTTATCATTATTAATTAGTGTGTATCTCATATATATTTATTAACACCAGGTGCTTAATGCAAATATGATGATTTTACTACTATTACATGTTTGACCATTTCGATACCGGCGTTGGCACAGGCTCTCCTCATTCCAGTAATCTCCTCAAGACTCTTTTATTAATAATATCCAATTCAATTTGATTTAAGTAACGTCTGTTCTTCCCACATACTTTCACGTCCTTTCACTTCATACTTTCGCCCTCTTATCCTCCAGTCATCTGGTAGACCTGTGTAACCTCTGTTCCACCTTTTTCTGTTCCCTCAGTTTACATACTGTTTCACTGATGACATCATCTGGAGATCTTACAGGTCGCCCAGGGGCTGTATCATACCAGCTAGGTGGTCCATTTTCTTCTTGAAGAATGATATGCTACTGTGACCTGGAATATAGTCGTTATCAGATGAGTATTCAAGTCTCTCAAAGATTTTACCTCTCATCTGGTAATGAGGTTTAGGGTGTCTGCCAGATGTATGATTCTACCATGATTTCATCCTTCTTACAATCATTTTAGGCTTCTTTATGTTGTATTTACATGTGTATGATTATTAATGTGCTTTACTTATTACCACTAATGGTCTATGCAACAACGTGTTTTGTTTGTTTATCTATACATTTTAATTTTTTCCCCTTGCCATCACCACAACAACAAGACGACAGTAGTATACAGCTGATCAATACATGGTGGTGAGTAGAGAAAAAGATAATAATACTGGTTATGAAATAAGGCGCAGTGTTATGAAAAATAAACAACAACAAAAAAAAACTTAATTATTACAAAAAATATGAACGAACGGCACAAACATTTGCAAATTATTGGACATACCACTATTAACACGATATTATTATAGTTATACAAACGATGGCTTACTCTTCTGTACTCTTTATTTCCTTAATGACTTAAAACTGGTTCCACACTGATCAGGACAAAAACAGTAAGAAGAATAAACTTCACGAAATTCTCCCTTGAAATTCATAGGCTTCATGGGGTCAATGTTGAAACAGTAGTCACTACAAACACAGAAAAAGACGCATGTAAGAGGAAACAAAGAAAGGACATTTTACACTCTTTCACTAATCACATCAATGATAATCCAATGACTTTCCATGCTGTCATTATAAGATCACGCCAACAACCGTAAAAGGCTGAATTCCAAGTGGCTAAAGCCAAACAATACTTCCGTGAGAACAATAGGTTCGACTAGGCTTAGCGGTTACTAGGTAAACGCTTCATCTTATGTTACAGGTTCAAAGTTTTCAGTAAAGGGACTGTTACAAACAGATAAAGTGTAGAAGTATACCAAAATGTTGAATATTTAGAAAATAAAGTTATACAGGGATATGTTTGAATATTTAACTACATTATCTCTGTTTTATTACGACCTTCCAGCTTCTGGTTAAGTAGTCCCTTATTCCTTTTGAAAACCAGCCCCAAGGTATAAACTTTTTGTTCTTCAGGTGACATTCTAAATCATATCAAAACTGTGGAACTGGTCTCAGTTCTTGGCTGGATGATGCAGATTTTACAATTTAAAAAAAAAAATGCTGCTAAATACAGCATATGGTAATGTATGGTAAATTATCATGATAAAAAAAGAATTATCCTTCCCCACAATACAACCAATACATCATTTATCGCAATACACAGTTATTCATGGTTTCATTAGCTTTTTCCAGGAAACAACATTCTCAAAACAGTTAAAATGGGCTCTGACCATACTGTTTTCACTGACCAGTCCTGTTCATACAAGAAAAAGAATGAGTAGTAGGATTCTCTGTGAACACCCTTTGTATATTGTTAATTTAGATATCTTTATGGAGGAGCCCGGCATGGCCAGGTTGTTAGGACGCTCGACTCGCAATCTGCGGGTCGCGGGTTCGCATTCTCGTCCCATCAAACATGCTCGCCCTTTCAGCCGTGGGGGCGTTATATAGTGACGGTCAGTCTCACTATTCGTTGGTAAAAGAGTAGCCCAAGAGTTGGCGGTGGGTGGTGATGACTACCAGCCTTCCCTCTAGTCTTACACTGCTAAATTAGGGACGGCTAGCGCAGATAGCCCTAGTGTAGCTTTGCGCGAAATTCAAAACAATGCAGATGACGATATAGAAGTAAAACTTACATACATACACATACAATTTATCACGGTAAAACGCATATTCTCAAACAAAACACGGAAACTTACCAATTTAGTTAAAGTACACGTACACGAAACACAAGATATTCAGAGCGTGATATCAAATGGTCAATCCCACTATTCGTTGGTCATTACGCAGATTTCTAAATTTGGTACATATTTAGCAGACCAGTCTAGGGTTGTTAACAGAAGAGCAGTGAAAAATCAAACGGTTATAGAATTCTTGAGAGGAGAACAAACAAAATCATCCTTACGAAGATGACCTGTGCTAGAAGACCAGAGACAAAATACACCAAGTTAAGCTTGCACAAACACATTAGAAACTGTTATGTCTGAGAGACACTCATTGTTAGATAGAGAGAATTATAGTCTGAAATAAGGCAGAATGTTTAAATATCAATTTTTCTCGCAGTCCTGACGGATAATTTTGTCGTTCTTGTTTACTTTCTTGGTCTCCGTAGCACAGTTCTAAGTAAACCTGTGCTTTTTGGCGAGTTGAACTTTTGTGAAGTAAATTTGTTCCTTCCGTGTTAATCACAACGTTACGTAATGGGCTATCTGTGTTCTGCCTGTCGTGGGTATCGAAATCCGATTTTTAGTGTATAAGTCCTCAGACTTACCACTGAACCACCGTGAGGTTTGCTAACTTCTGTACCTTGTTCTCTGTTAAATGAACATTATGGCCCGGCATGGCCAGGTGGTTAGGGCGCTCGACTCGCAATCTGAAGGTCGCGGGTTCGAATCCCCGTCACATCAAACATGCTCGCCCTTTCAGCCGTGGGGGCGTTATATAGTGACGGTCAATCTCACTATTCTTTGGTAAAAGAGTAGCCCAAGAGTTGGCTGTGGGTGGTGATGACTAACTGCCTTCCCTCTAGTCTTTCACTGCTAACTTAGAGACGGCTAGTGTAGATAGCCGTCCCCCGCTGGGACAGCGGTAAGTCTTCGGATTTACAACGCTAAAATCAGGGGTTCGATTCCTCTCGGTGGACACAGCAGATAGCCTGATGTTGCTTTGCTATAAGAAAATACACATGCATATAGCCCTTGCGTAGCTTTGCGCGAAATTCAAAACAAACAAACATCTCTTTAGATTTCGTCAATATCTTAATTTTTTTAAATATACTGGTTTTGTTGCTCAACGGTATGGAATGCTTTTATTTTTGTGCTATTAATAACTAATTATATATTTATTGTTTATAAAAACTTTACATCATGTATACATATTACTATTTTTTGAATGTTTTGTTTAAACCACCAGGCCACCATCTTCGTATCTGTGAACAGGGGATGACTTGTTGCACAGAAGAAATGGAGCACAAGCTGAATAACCATAGTGAGGCAGAATTTGCTAGGCTTCTTCAAGAATCAGTCATTGGTTTAAAAAACATGTTATCTTCCAAAACTCAGCAATTTGACGGTAAGTTAAAACTAAGTATGTAGTACGAATCTAAATGTAGTTCATGAAATAACTTAAAACTCGCAGTTGTTAAAAGTAATGTAATAAATAATTATATAAAATAAGTCATATAAATCTATAAACATAGTTTCTCCCATTTCTTTTTCTACCAGAAAATCGTTTGACAAAAACATTCACCATGTATTGTTTATTAAAATTTAATACGAATATTTATAAACATTCTCAATCTGCTTTTCATTAATTGTTTAGAGTTCTTTCAAGAACTTATGGACAAATCTCAGAAGGATTTTGATGACATGTTTTCCCGAACATATGGTTTGTTGTACAAACGAAATGCGTTCATTTTTGAAAGTCTGTTTGATGATCTGAGGAAGTACTATCTATCGGGTGGAGTGGATTTGACAGATGCTCTGGAAGAATTTTTTAACAGACTTTACTTGAAAATATTTGAGGTAAAATAATCTGATCATTTACTACACATCCTTATTATATTAGAATCATTTATCACGTGTGACGAATTCAAAGTAGAGATTTTGTTCGTTGATCGTTTTCTCGTATAGTGAGCAGCTGTCACATGTTATTCCTCTAAGTAAGTTATATATAAGTTAGATTCAAAGTTTTAAATTTCTTATATGTCTTCTGGCTCACAACCCGAAAAACTGTGCTAAACTTAGCTGTAGTTATTTAATTTGATAAGCAGGAGTAAATCCAATATCTTGGCAGTAAGATAATCAAAACCACATGGGATAAATGTACGATGATGGCTAATATCACTTCAGTGTGGAGCTAGCTGTCTAATTGTCATATGAGTTAGGGAGATAACTTTATTCTGAGAATTCTGAATGCTATTGGCTAAGACATCGTGACTTGTGAGATCGGCTTGGATTTCTCAAAGAGATTGGCTTTTTACTTGAGAGAGAGACAAGATCACCAGCGTTATCATCTTAATATTTTGTTCTTGTTAACAGGTTTAATTGTATATTATAGAGTTGCGCTTTTGCATTTACTGGAATTTTAAATTGTAGTTTCATTCTCTTTTTTTATTTACTTATTAGTCAAATTCAGTAAAAATGTATATTTTAACTCAGATGTTGATTTTCCAGCTTTATTTACTCAGTACTCAGCCCATTAAGTTGCTTTTAATACATTTATATTGGGATATCGTCGATAAAAATTATTTGTATTTGTTCGGCTATGTCTCCCTATTTCATTATTTTGACCGGCAATAATTAAAAACTTTTCCTTTCACCGATTTAATCGTCGTGCCTCTATTTTTTATTTTTTTTGAGACGTCTTTGTTGTGTGTTTCTTTATTCGTAATCCAGGATTACCACAATCATATACAAACCTTTAAAGACAGTTTAACTCACGGATCAGCCCCCCCCCCCCCCAGTGGCACAGCGGTATGTCTGCGGATTTACAACGCTAGAAACCGGGTTTCGATACCCGTGGTGGGTGGAGCACAGATAGCCCTTGTGTAGTTTTGTGCATAATTAAAAACACAAAGAAACGAACAAACACGGATCAAACATTTAACTCGGATTTTCAGTAGCTTGTGACAAATACCTTATATACACATTTACTATGCAAGTCATTTTAAAAATGTCATGAAAGAATTACCTAGCGATGCTTATATTTTAACATAAGAAGACCCTGAATCATGTTTTCCTAAAGTCAAACGTTGAACCCAAACAGATTGGTAAATAACAGACAGTATAATCACATTAAACATAGTTAAATTTATTGCTTACTTTATTAATTATTAAACAGCCAATGTTCCGTGTGTGTATATATATATATATTTACATACATACCTGAATATATAATACAGGAAACAAGTTTGATTTGATTATCATAAAACAACATAGTCTTTTCTAACCTTTACTTTAATCTTTTATCAGTTTCGTAACTGCTTTGATTTTATTCAGAATTAATTCACGGACAAAACTCAAAGAAAAACACACACACGATGAAACAGAATTATCAAAATACAACAGGTTACCATAATCTTATCACTAGAGTTTAATACAGAAAAGTTAACTAGTAAGCTAGTCTTTATAGTGATCAGAGTCTAATATGAATACTTTTATTTAGCCTCGAAATACCCCCCCCCCAAAAAAAAAGTAGCAACAAAATCTCATCCTGCCCAAATCATTATGCTGTTAAAACGCGCACTCAGATGTAAGTGATGAATAATGCATGTTGGATGATGTGAGCTTTGGAATCCATGTCTATTTTTAGTTTAATTCTATGATGTTTTTTTATGGTAAATCTGATAGACAGCGTATCCCTACCACCTTGTGAGTCCTAATTCTTCAGATACCTATGTTACTCTGGTACATTTTACCTTTCCACCTTACTTTTGCACACTGTTAAATATATCGGTTATACATATGAGCTAGCCGTCCTTAATTATGAACTGATAGACTAGAAGGAAGGCAGCTAATCAACAACAACACCCACCGCCAGTTCTCGATTTACTTTTATTGAATAGTAGTATCCGTCACTCTCATGACACACCCACAGCCTCAAGGTGCGGAACGCGATTTTACGACAAAAAGGCACGAATAGAAGACTCTCAGATTCACATTACGGCACACTAACTATTAGGCCACTCCTATCTCCACACAGTATAAGTTTCGCGGATAACATGGGTGGGGTACCAGGACAGCAACTAGATGGTTTCTTAAGATATAAAAATATTAGAAAAAAAACCTGAAGTTCGTTTTAAATATGTAAAATTGTTTCATTTTTATTTAACAAAAGTTCGTGACATTTTAAGAACTTGTTGTGAAAAAAAAAGAAAAAGAAAAGATTAAGTTTTTAGTTGTTATTACGGTGGCTAAATTTTTGATTTTGAAACTTTAGTCATAAAGCCGTGATGACTGTGAGTCAGATATATTTTGCTTTTCATCTCTGCCAGGTTCTTAATGCTGAGTATCAATTCGATAAAGTGTATCTCAACTGCATCCGGGACCTGATGGACGACCTAAAGCCGTTTGGAGATGTACCTAGAAAGTTAACTGCTGAAATTAAACGTTCGTTCATAGCCACCCGTACTTTTGTTCAAGCTCTTACAGTTGGGCGAGATGTCGTACGGCACGTTTTAGAGGTAAGCTAAAAAATAGTTTTTAGTTTGATGTGGAAAAAATGACGTCATCTCAGTTCCTAAGATATTGTAGTTGAAATTACGTTTAATGCGCAACAAAATTTGGGTTCATATATAATACTGGAAAAACAATATTATATTAAACTAAGTCCTAGTTTTATTTGTCCATGGGGGCCCACGGAAGTATTTTCTAGGGGGAGGGCAAAACATGTATGAAGGGGATCGGCTTTTACAATGCAAGTCAACAGATTAAAATAATACGTGTTATGTGTGCTTATACGCAATCTCAAATTTACAGTTTTGATAAAAATTACTAAATATATTTTGTTTAATTACGATGTTAAGTTTGCATCATAATACGTGCAATGTTTTGTGAAATGTAAAGGGGGGCAAGTGTTTTCTCATGCTCCTTCCTGCGGGCGCCCATGATTTGATTATCACATGTGTTCAAAGAAGCTCATTTGATGTGCCCCGATAGTTCCAACGTGACAAGTTTTCCATATTTGTTTTGAACAGGTGACACCGAGCCAGCAGTGCAGTCGGGCGCTTATGAAGATGACCTATTGCCCTCACTGTCATGGCCTGCCTGACTTGAAACCGTGTGGAAACTATTGTCTCAACGTTATGAAGGGTTGCTTGGCTTACCACGCTGAACTTGACAGAGAATGGAACAATTACATCGGTAAGGTGTTACAACATGTGCAAATTCAGTTACATAAGGTAAAATGTCTAAACATTTAATAAAAGTTGTTTGAGAATTATTACAAGTAAGCAAGTGAATTTAAGATTACTGTTGCTTAATAATCTGTTTCACACATTTCGCATGTTGTACATGTACGAGGGAGAGATGATCGTTCACCTGCATGTTGTTTTTACTTTGGTCGCATCCAGTTTTCTTTTTTACTTTTTCGTGGAAGTTTAATCGAATGTATTTCCTAAGATTTACTGAATAACCACAGCTACTTTGAAAATATTGAATTAATTATCCAGTGACACACAAAGAAAATGTAACTGTCGTGTGATTTTAAACAATATAGTTGTGTAGTACGAAAAATATATCTAATATTAGTTTAAAGAATTCATGCAGTGACTTATAGGGAACTGGAATTTTGAATATGTAAGCTTTCTTATGTATATAAAGAAAAAAAAATCTGTGTGTATGTCTGTTTGTCTCTTATCTAACTACTTCTAGGTCACTGGGCCAATCTCAACCAAACTTTGTGGGATTATAGTCTAGAACAATAGGCATGTTAATGGGGGTTCACAAACCCTCTACCCCATTATTGAGTATTAATTATCTTTGATGTAAGTTAACTACATTCATATATAACGCCACGTTCTTACACCAAACAAAAAAACTTTATTAATTTTTCCGTTCCCCGGTGGGATAGCAGTAAGTCTTCGATTTACAACGCTACAATCAGAGGTTCTATTACCCTCGGTGGACACAGCAGATAGTACGATGTGGCCTTGTCATAAGAAAACAGTCACACAGTTTTAATTTTCCATAACACCACGTACATACAGTGTGGGGGAGGGCACATAAACGTCTTATATATCTCAGAGAATGCAATGAAAAAACAATATCCACCACTATTGCAATAATGAATAAACTAAGATGAAGCTGATACGACAGTAGTCACCATAACTCTGATATGAAGAGCCGTTTTTGAGTTATACCTACTTCCTACTTTGACCCATGACCTTACAACTTCATCCCATAAAACACTTCTGCGGCCAATGACCGTCAATTAATTAATAAAGTGGAACAATGTGGAAATACATTAAGAGCTGGGTTTTGAAAGCGGGTAACAGAAAGCACCCCCAACCAACACTGCATTGGCTGCTACCTCTTCATACAAAGTCACTCTGACCATCACACAGTGTGTACCATGTACTAAGTATATACATATTGAGTTCTTAAAGCTTATGCAAAACTTTTGGTGAGATAATAATGAATACTGTAATAATATGTTATGGTATAAATAAATTGTGTGAAAGTTAGGATTTTTGTGTTATTTATCATAGCATCTACCCCCACATTTTCTTAAGTTCATAACCCGGACAAAGAACGGGTACCTCAGATGTAAATCATAGTAATAGCAATAATAATACCGATATTTGTGATTAAAAATAAAATTAATTTTTTTCTAGACTAAGTTAATTTTTAGGATAAAAAAGAAAGACTCCTTATTGCGCATTCGCTGTTGGTAGCTACACACAAATACAAGTACTTTGTTGTAACACTTTGCAAGTCCTTATTCAATATGCACTGTGCATTAAGATATAAAGTCTTATTGCACGTTTAATGTTGTAATAAAATACAAGAACTGTTGTAAAATACAAGCTTTTACTGCGCATATACATATACAACACTGTCCAATAAAATACAAGTTTACATTTCAGATGTCCTGTTGCGGTTTTCATTGCGATGTGTTGATAAAGTGAAACACAAGCCTTTGCTGGAGTTCGATACCAATCCATATCACAAACGCTCTGTTGCAATTTTATGACAAGTATTTTAAGCTACATGTTATATTTTCTCAGAAGCATTGCTAGGCACTTGGACACGAGGCCGTGCCCCGAATTCCCAGTTGGTGTATTGAAAAATCAGAAGAAAAAACCATGATTGGCATCATACTGAAACACCCAGCCACGCCTCTGTGTTTTCTTCTTCTCTTTGGTTAAAAAAGAAAAGAAACTTATAATAGAATCATTAAACAGTTGATTTACTGTATAATATCGAATAATAAATTGGGCGCAATACCATAGTATTATTCATACACCTAAATTAATTTAGATTACTATGTGGTGAGTGAAAAAAGAATCAAAAACCTCGCATATATTTTATGTACTTTTGTTGACCTATCTTCTTTTGAGAATTGTTTCTTTGGTTGGATAATTGATTTTCTTTGCATGCATCTAAATATCAAAACACCATGTTATTACATAAAAATGTATTATTTATCGTTTTTGCTGGTCAGATAATACAAACACTTTGCTATAAGACAGTATACAGATTGTAAAATTATTTGTATTATATGGTTTCTGCACCAAAGTGTAAATAGGATTTTAAAACATAAAATTGTCAAGTTTTCTTTAAATGAGCTTCTAAAAATATCTCTTCAATGTTTTATAGTTAGAATTACGTTTACTTCAAACTGACGTATAATATTCAAAGTATGTTCAGTGTTATTGTTAATTTTGGTTTCTTTTATTTTTATTTATTTCGTTTTCTTCTCAAGAATTATGTAACAAATTATGAAGTGCTCAATGCCTTTATTTAAGATAGGACTAGATAAATTGGCGCCAAGAAGTAACCTAGTTCAGGCCAGTAAATCATTGGGAAAAAAAAGCTACGTAACCACCCCGTATCTCTCATCAAGACGGAGAACGTGTTATGTAAATGAAACAAGGTGTGAGTCCTCTCCTTGAATCTATGTCGATTCCTTTTGATCTTCCCGCGTTAGCATACCTGGCCGTTTAGTCTGATCTGATGAAAAGAAATAGGCGTGGCGAAGTGGACGTCACACGAACAGTTGAACACAGTATGCGTGTGTGTGTGTGAAAGGAGTGGAGTGCTATAAACAGCTTGACATTGAAAAAATGGTTATTAAAATGAGAAAATATAAATGTTTTTTAGTTCACCAAACCGTAAGCTTCGAGGAATGTGCACAGGATAAAATTTGTTTGCGTACGTTTTATTTTAGCTTGGTAAATATTAGAAACACTTTGGTTGTGTATACTCTTGTTGTCACGGTGCAGAGTAGGTGGCATACATATATAAATTGTTTTTATAAAATGTGGTGATACATACATATACTACCGTTTTTGTACTGCTGATTGAATAAAAAATAACTACGTTTTAGGTAGTAAACAATAGAATGGACTATCTGTACTCTGCCCCCCGTTGGTATCGAAACCAGACTTTTTGAGTTAGAGCCTCTAGACTTACCGTTAAGTCACTGAGGTGGGAGGTCAGTCCTTGCAATTGTAATTACGAGTAGTTCACAACAATACTATATTATCTTTTTTGAGTATATCTTCAAGTCTAAGTTTAATCAGTTGCAGCGTAAGACTTGGCCGAAACACCACAACACAAAGCATTTAGTTCTGCGAAGAATGATTGTTCAGTTACGATTGAGGAAAGCAACAGAATAAGTTAATTTTATGAATTTCTAAGAACTGATGGTCAATTTAAATGCTTTCATCTGTGACATTTGCCCTTTATTATAATTATGAGTGTCTGTAAGTAAAGAAAGGAGCTCCATGTTAAAGTAAAATCGTTGTTACAACATTAAAATAACAGTAAAAAAACAAAACAACAACAACAACAAAAAACACTGAGCTGAGAGGATAAGAAATTTAATCTTTGCAAACTACATGTTTTAAATTGTTGCACCTGATATAATATTATTTATCAAGCTATTCTGCCATCTATGTAAGCCGTATTCCCACGTTTTCTGTTTTCTCATTGTTTCGTTTTTTGATATTAAATATTCAGTTATTATCTTATTTTTCACTCTTTCACAGCTATGGACACATACATGTACTCTTTTAGACCACTTCCATGTGCGTTTGGAATTTTGTACCAACATAAAAAGAGTCGTTCATCAGTTACAAGTTTCAGATAAGCAATGAAATATTAAAACACGTGTCTTTTTATTTTTTCTGTGCATGTAGAAATAAACCAGGCACTGGAGAGTTGTTTATCTATAAATATGGCAATGAAGTAGTCAATAAATCGTCGCTTGTGTCTTGCTAATGCACTTACCATAGCATTGAGCTGCAGTGTTTCGGTGATTTCAAAGATTCAGAATTAACTATCACTTTCTTGCAAGAAAAAGAAAAGAAAGAAGATCGACTTTCTTAAAGTTTGTTTTATTTTTTTATTAGATGCTCTTCTCATGTTAGCTCATCGCCTTGAGTCTTCCTTCAGCATCGAAGCTGTTGTAGAACCAATCGAAATTAGGGTGTCAGACGCCATTATGACTTTCCAGGAGAATAATCTCATCATTTCATCGAAGGTAACTTAAAGAAAAACGCACAAAAAACATGTTAAGAAGATTATAATGAATTGTTAAAATGCTGTTGTAATATAATCTTTCGTCCTGTTCTAACAGTAGGTTTTTTTCAAGTCCGTGGAGAGAGTTATGAAAAAATACATTAAAGAACAACACATACTGTTACCTTCTTTTATGTATTGAATTTCGGTTTAGCTAGAAAAGTAACTATCGATTGTTTGTAGCTTATTTTATCGTGTAGCAATTGTTATGCTTGGTTAAAACGGCGGTATTGTTTCTATGAAGCCACTCTTTGTCAACTATTAAACCCCCGAGTTATAATATTTCACTGTTTGAAAAGAGACGGCGAACGTACATCTACTCGACCCTCCTCCTCTTTAGAAACAAACTCACGACTCTAATTAGCAGTTAACCTTTACCGGTTTAGAGTAAAATGGTCTTTAGTTCTGCCTGCTTAATAGCCTTATAACACTTCATTTTACTTTTATTGTGAAGAAAGATAAAAATTCAAAACTCATTGAAATGCTCAATCGTTATATTTAGGAACATAAGTGTTTTAAGTGCATACTTAAAAATTTACAGTGAATTTCTTTTACGTGTTTCCTGTTATTAACGAACGTCATTCTGTGCGTTTTTATGTCAGGCATAAAAAAAGAAACTCACTTTAGGCATATTCTCTTTCCACCATCAGGATTTCTTTAACTTGTAAATATTGTGATTTCATATATGAAAAAATAAAATGTTTCGCACCAAACTTCTGGTTTTCACGTATATCAGGGAATTCTTTTTAATTCTGACGAAAATTACCAGTTTACATCATTCTGAAAAACCTTAAATGAAAACGCGTTTTTGAATTACTTCGTTAATAGTTCGTAGGTATTAAAACGTTTGCAGTGTGATTTTTCTTAACCTATTAATTTCTTTATACAGCACAGTTACAGTTCTGTATTTTTCATTTACCCGTGGTTGATTTAAAGTTTATTATCATAATTGTTTTCGCATGTAACATACAGTTATTTCAAAATTGTGGAAAGCCAAGACTACAGAAAAGAGATCTTACTGGCGAGATTGAGTTCCGTTCATTTAACTTTGGCACTCGCTTACCGGTGTTCCATCCGACCAAAAGTGGATTCGAGCGGCTTGTCGATGACACCAAGAAAAAACTCAAGAAGACTAAAAACTTTTGGTCACAGTTGGCGAATGAACTATGTAATCATCCCGAAGTGGTAGGGGACAGGAAGATACGGGACGACCCTAACAGCTGTTGGAATGGTCTAACAAAAGCAAGGTATAAAGATTCACGTCGAATTTCTCTACCTTCTGAACGCTAGCATAAACTATCCTCGGGGCTCAAAAACCCTCTCATGATTCATAGAGGCCCCACTTTACTGAATCTCTGGTTACTTCTACAGCTACCCCAGGGGTTCGTATATGAAAAAAAAAAACTTTTAGGAAATCCGCTTGTGACATCTGAGCATGAACATGATGTCCCCGGGGTCTCAAAGGGTGTCTGAGAACACAAACTTCTATGACCGTTTCGGGTTCAGCGACCTTGAAAACTTACTCCTACACCCCATCACGTTCTGTTCCCTCTTGATAATACTCCCTTGGTAGAGGGGCTACGCCATATAGATAAGCCTCCCCCCCCCAGAGGCCAGTCCGCATTCCAAATTTGAACTGACTAGTTCCAAAATTGTAGGAGGAGTTCGCGAACAAACAAACACACAATGTGAATTAATACAATATGCAAAAACTGGTTTAAACATTTTCGATATAGTCCAAAAACATTTGACGTGTTGATCTGAGAGTTTAAATATGAAGAATGAAATAAAATTAATTGTAATATTTCAGACTTGAAAACGCATAAAACAGTAACGAAACTGAGTTTAATAAAGCGTGTGTGTGACAAGTTAGATTATCTGTGTAAATAGAAATAATACCATATGACTACCATTTGAAAAATAAATCACAAGTATATGTTTAAAGTTCCTCCTGGAGGACCCATTTAAAATAAATTTCCTTCCCACTTGATACAAAATAAACTTCCTCCAGAACTAACATTATATTAAACTGGGTTCCACTTGATACAAAATGAACTTCCTCCAGAACTAACATTATATTAAACTGGGTCCCACTTGATACAAAATGAACTTCCTCCAGAACTAACATTATATTAAATTGGATCCCACTTGATACGACATAAACTTCCTCCAGAACTAACATTATATTAAACTGGGTCCCACTTGATACAAAATGAACTTCCTTCAGAACTAACACTGTATTACACTGGGTCCCACTTGATACAAAATGAACTTCCTTCAGAACTAACACTGTATTACACTGGGTCCCACTTGATACAAAATGAACTTCCTCCAGAACTAACATTATATTAAACTGGGTCCCACTTGATACGATATGAACTTCCTCCAAAACTAACATTATATTAAACTAGGTTCCAACTGGATACGAAATGAACTTCCTTAAATTGTAATTGTATTACATTGGGTCCCACTTGATACGAAATGAACTTCCCCCAGAACTAGCATTGTATTACTCTGGGTCCTACTTGATACTAAATGAATTTTCTTCAAAAATATATTTCGTTCTTGTTGTAACAATTTATGAATATACAAAACAGTAACGCTCTAGAAACGTGGTTTGGCGTAGGTATAAATACAAACTGTAAATTAAAGCTGGCCAATTAATACACGAACACAGTGTTAGTTTTGGAAGAAGTTCATTTCATATCAAGTGGGACCCAGTGTAACACAATGTTAGTTCTGGAGAAAATTCATTTAGTATCAAGTGGGATCCAGTGTAAGACAAGATTAGTTCACAATGTTTATCGTTTTTATTTAAAATATTAGTTCCAAAAAGAGTAGATAATACGTTTAGTAGCTAAATATAAGCATTATTAAAGCTTTGACATCTGATTTAATTTAACATTGACATTCTTGTTAACGTCTCAAAATATTTCTGAAGGTATGATGCAACTCTAGTAGGAGATGGCCTTAGTAGCCAGAAAGACAACCCAGAAGTGATGCTGGACGTCACTACACAGAATGTCATCATTAGTCAACAGATGTTAACATTACAACTCATTAATAGCAAGTTGAATGATGCCTACAATGGCCAGGTTGTGAAATGGCCAGACACTGGTAAGTAAAGAACATAATTATGTGATTGTAAACTATTTTGTTCAGTATCGACAATAATGTGGTCAAGAATGTAGAGCATAGAACATAAAGAAATGTCCGTTATCTGTATAATAAGTTGTACAGTTATTCAATGTTTTTCTTCATGGTGTTTCATATTAACTTCTTGAACTTACTTATGCAGTGGTGTGTTGCCGCAGATGCAAGTCATGACGACATGTTTAGCATCAATATATTTCGTTAATAATGAAGAATCCTAGACTATTCACGTGCAATACTGTCACGTGTAGACTTATAGCTGCAGGAATATATATATATATATATATATATCAACTTCCAATCTGAGCAAGCTATCTTATTTAGAGCGTAAACTAAAAGTTGCTTTAGAAATGATTAAATAGATATGATTTTCTTCCGTTTTTATTATAAAGATTAGAATACATTGTTTCATCAGTTGGATACTCTCGCTGTTGCCCCCCAGTGGCACAGTGGTATGTCTGCGGACTTACAACGCTAGAATCCGGGTTTCGATACCCGTGGTGGGCAGAGCACAGATAGCCTATTGTGTAGCTTTGTGCTTAATTACAAACAACAACAACTCTCGCTGTTAACAATATTTTCGGTAATAAACCCAATAATATATTACGAGGTTCGGCCAACTTAAGAGAATTGAGTTATTCTTAATTCCATATATTGAGCTTACAATGAAAGGGATTCTCTATTATATAACTTTGCAATTGAAATAATAATAAAAGTAGACACGTGAAACATTCTAATCGGTACTGCTAATGAAAGTAACGTTAAAGAAAGACTAGAGTATACATACCTACGGAATAGATAAGCAATAGCTCTTAGCTTCAAGTATTTTCGTAGATTCAATGTTCACTGAACGACATAACATCACTATAACCGTGTATAAGCAAAATGTTCCAAAACCATCTCTTAAAATGTCTTGTGACCAATGAAACCCATCAAACAGTTCCGACAGTGTAACTTTACAGGAACGTGATATCTGAGATGAACTGCTACTACTCATGTTACTGTTTAGTTATGGATCAAGTATGAGAACAGTACAGTTAAAACACTAATGTTTATGAATAATAATTAATAATAATTACACAATAATAAGTAATAGATAAATAAAGGATTACCCGAATCGTACAGTAAATAGCTAGAATATTGGTTCTTTGGTTAAAATGTAGCAAAGTTTATCAAATTAAATACAAAGAAAACAATATATTAAACATATTTTGAGGTATGTCTAATACAGTTGCACCAACTTTAACCAACCCCTGTCACTTAAAAAACACATGGGGCAAAGCAACAAAAATTATATTGTGGTTAAATTTTCTGTAGAAGCCGAAAAGTAGACGATATAAGCCTCGAAAAAATTCAATGATAATAATGAGACTAAATATGACAAAGTAATTAGCAGAAATTAACGTAACTGAACTAATGACGTAATGCTATAAACTAAAGCTGTTCATTATTACCTTAAAGAATATCCTTAGGAATCAAAAAGTGTAGACGTGAAAGTTTTGAAAAGGTCATGAAGTTCTGTAAAACTTTTAAACCCATAATTAATTTCAAGAATATTGTCTTGTAATGTTGAACAATTTTTATTCTTTGTAATAAGCTGTGGGTAGTAAGCATTGTAAAACAATTTATTTGAAATATTAGTTAAATACTATTTGATGTATTTCAGACCATTACCTATTAGGATTGATAAATCCTTAGACGTAGCTTTTCTGTCCTCGACAATAAACCTGTATTTGTATGGTGTTTTGTGTAGTTCGAGAATACAAAGTAACTTAGGTATTGTATTGTAAGATTTAACGGAATGTATATCAGAGTGTGATCAAAATCTAAAGTGTTTATAAATGACCCTTTATATATAGTTTTAATGCTCTTACACAGCCCGTTACTCAAAAATCTTAATGTTTTTGAATTAAACCTTAGTTCTTTACATAAAGTTGTAATATAAAACTTTTGACAGATGAAAACAAAGTTGCAAGCTGCTTTATGAGCATGAATGATGACACATCTACTATGCAAGTAATCTATGCTCAGTAACTTCTTTCTTATTCGTAACATGTTCATTGTTGTTAATAGAGAATTTCAAGTATATTATGCACTTATGGATTATTTTTAACTTTTATTTGCTCATTTTTTTAAGTAGGATTACTTTCAAGCTCTCATTTTTACTTCATTTAAATAAAACTGTACTAAGTGGTGTACGAATTACTTGTTTTGTGCGTTTCCAATTAATTTTAGAATCTTTACTCAGTAAGAACCAGAAATCTTCGTTAGTTACGATATCAGTGGACACAGCACAGACAGCCCATTGTGTAGTTTTATGCTTAAAATTAATAAAGAAAACACACAAGATAGTTAAGATATATCAAGATTACCGCTTAGCACTTGGTCGAGGGAAGAATAAAGATAAGTAGATTAATTACATTCGCATTGAGAGGATAAAAATGTTGTGCAATTCCTTAATAGTTATGTTATCTAACACTTCATTGCAATTAAATATTCTAATGCCAATGAACCTTTTGCAAGAATAGTTAACAATTGGATTTTTAATTTTGGAAGTGTTAGGCAATAATTATTGTATAGAAGTGTCTCTGAATATATATTTCTAATTTAATTGGTTCTGTACAATGGACTGTTGTGCTTTTGGTCAGCTATAATATGGTCTTGGAAGCCAAATTCTACGCACAGTGAATAATCTGTTTTGTGAAGATATGTGGTGGAAGACTGACTTTGCTGTCCTCCGCAACTCTTGTTACAACGGTGTAATATTTGGTCATCAGATTAAACACAACTGACGTTAAAGGAAGTAGTTCCAAGGTATCCCAGGACCTGCAATAACATTCATATATACAGTGCAATTCATCTTCAGTAATATATTTCTTCTTAGTTTTTTATTGTCATTAAATCTTATTGATTATAGTTTTAAAGTTGAATAATATTTATGAAGATATTTTGCACTAAAGGCTTAGTGTGTGGACTTTGAAGTAACTTAAATCTCCTTGTCTGACTGAATCTCGTGAGATATTATTGGGATTATGGCTGAAAACATTGTTCACATAACGGTGTCAAACTGATGACTCAGTGCAATGTAATCATTAGAGGTTTTAGTATGCAGGCGCATTGATTTATAACATTAAACATTTCTAGTGAGTGCGTTATGACAGTTTGTCTTTATTAATTCATGTAATATTACTTTTATATTAATTAATTTAGATCTATATAGCTAGCTTACCTTTGATCAGTAGATTTTAATAAATAGTACTTTCTATCCAATTAGTAAGAGTGTTCAGAAGTCAGTTGATGCAAATATATCTATCTGCATAGTTAGTTCAGTTGACAGTTATGGTTAATTCGGAAGTAATGATAAATCGGGTTTTGGTTTCAGCTTTCTTATGTTTCCCATCAGCGTCTTTATCGTTGACCTTGTGCAAGTGATTGCGATGTTTTAAAAATATGTTATAGTGAAATAAAAATATTGTGTTTTGATGTACTACAGGAACAGGCTTGTACTATATATCCTTTGATGAAACTATAATAAGCAAATAATACTTTTTACTGTCATCAACGTTTCCGTATAACACTATCATAATGCCTTTTTTTTAGACACTTTTTCTAGCACATCTCAGAGCTACGGAACTCATTTCAGTTAACGTTAAGAATCTTAACAAACAACAACAAATGTTCCTTAACAAATAACTAATATTACATTATTAATGCTTACCCTAATTCTGATTTGTTAATGACCTTAGATAAAAATTTGCAATAATTACAGTGCACTGTCATAATCTATTTCACAACACAACAGTTGTTGCTCATGGAATTGATGATATATACATAGCGTTCTAGACTTCTATTATGTCTGTCGTATCCCAGCCGGCCTAATGAGCCCTGATATTGAATAAAAGGCCTTGTTAGCCCTGAATATGGCAGATATAGTGTGGTTGACCTATTATTGTACATTCTTCTTTGCTTTCACTCGTATACTTATTCAATTAACATGTTAACAATATACGGTACTGTACAACAGTTTTACTGCCATCTATAAATATTGCACTGTTACGATTGTACTTTCCCCATGGAATGAAATATGGTCCTGAACACAATGGGCAATTGGAAAATATAGGCAGTGACAAATGTCATGTAGTTTGGGTTTGCCATTTTAACTTTAATAACAAAAATGTTGCTGACATATAAAATCCCCTATACTAGTATAAAGTATTAACA